TAAACGAGGACCCCAACTAGATCGTGGCTTACAAAATATATTGAAGAACTTTTCTGCCTTGCCTCGATATTGCAACCGTTTATGTATCAAATTGGTGTGTACATTTTAATAAACGGAAGAGTAGCTCCCAGTAAATCCCGCTCTGCGGGCACCCTATGGACCCCGGAATGGAATAGTAAGATTAGCCTCTGAAAGTCAAGAGTGCTATTAAGCTCGATTTCAAAGGGGTTCAGATGGTGATGAAAGCTATGATATTGCTAATTGGTAATCATAATAATCAAGGAACTACTTATTGGATTGATTCTATTAGGAATTTCGCAAGTATGGGTATCTGGAGCCAGCAAGTAATTAAGTTTGGGTTTACTTTTCTAAAAGGATTTACTGAATTACAATCAAGGTAATAAAGCATTATCTTCCTACACGAAAATAGCTCTTATCTCAATAGGGTTGTTGCTGTGAGTAAATAAGACTTTGTCCTCGAGCAATTATTTCCTGCTCTTGCCAATAGTATATGCTACTCACAGTAGGCGTGACTATGGATTAGATTAATTATGTTTGCCTTTTGTCACGTTTAAAGTATCCTTGCCTGCTTGCTGTATGATATTACACTTTTTGCTTGCATTCCTTATTAAATTGAAAGAATGTAGGAGGACATTGTTTTTTTATTCTGATTTTCAAGATAGATTCAACTTTAATTTGATTTGTCAGAGGAGTAAACAGATAAGTAAGGTTGGGAAGTCTTAACATGATCTCAATATACTAAAATCCTACTATGCAAATTAGCTTCGAAACAACGAATGTGCTACTATGCAAATGAGGGGCACGGAAATCTGCACACGGTCTCACCCACTCGACGCCTCTTCGAACGAGATCGGTTTCGAGGCCTCCTCGAAACGTCCCGCTTTTTCCTCCGTTCGATCCCGTCCGTCGACGTGAGTCTGCAGCTGGCCTTCGATTTTCGATTCGGTCCCGTCTTCCTGCCTGAAAATCCTCGAAACAAACTTTTTCTAGGCGGAAGTTGCTTTGCTTGCGGACCTGATTGCCTCTCCGGAGAAAAGGTTACGTCGGGTCGTTAAGCGTGTTAGGCTTTGTCAGCGAGGTCGTTAACCGCCACCTCTTTGTGCGGAGAAGCAATTAAGTGCGGGATCCTCAAGTCTCTGCGAGCTTCGAATTCCTTTGCAAGAAAACTTTGCTGCGTCACAGCTCGGTTCTCCCCTCTGGATGGAAGTTTTGATTCGAGGTTTTTTTGGAATCGAAACAGCTCGCTTGCGACACCTTTCTCCCAAAAGCTCGAGACCGTACGAGCAAAAGTTATGATTGTCATGATTATCTCATTGTTGTTGCTTAAACTACTAGGCACTCTCATGGTTATCATGATCTTTTGGCGATGCGTTCCGATGACGTAGCGATTTGCATTGTTGCAGGGACAGTTTTTTTCCCGGTAACTGAAAAATTCCCTTTTATGGAGGATCGATTGATAAATTACTGTGCAATTTGTGTCAGAACAGTCTCAACTGGATAAAAGCATGATAAATTGTCGCAAAGATCATTTTCCAGCCAGGTGCATTTTAGAGCACACGGTTGGAAAGAAAGGTTTGGAAAAAGAAGTCGACATGTTTCTCACAATGGACCCTTGATTTTGGACGCAATTTTCAGTGTGAGTATTGTTTATTCTTTTCGCTTATGTTTCTGCACCTTGCCTTGCCATTTTTCTAACAAAACGCCCTGCCCCTGCCGCGAAATATTTAATAGTCGCCCCTTTATTGAATACTATGTTTCTGTTGCTCTTTTATTAGCTACAACATTGAATTTACCGTCTGTTCTTCTGCTGTTTTTGCAGGACAGTGTCGAGAACACGATTTGAATACCTTTCCCAAATTGAATATTCATCAGGTTAGTGCGTTTGTTTTCGGGGTTATTTTCATCCCTTTTCGTTTATCTACGTTTCAAAATAGAGGTATTTTATATTTTATTATTTATCAATTTGTGCAACGAATTCTCAGCGAATTGTGACGCCTAGATTCAGGAAATTCAAACTTTATAGGACAGTTTTGCCTGACGAGTTGCGAACGACGATCAAGCTACGCCCCCTTTGTGATGTGACCCCATTGTCTGCAAGGTCGTTATTGGGGAAACTTTTCGTGAGTGCGGATCGTTAACGATCATTAGTGACGCATCGATTAGGAACCTTGATCTTCGATGTCGACATTTGATTTTGGTAAACTTGCTGCGTCACAGTTTTCATTTCGGTTATTCTTGGATTTTTTGCAGGACATTCCCGTGGCAGATTGACCAAAGTATTGTAAACATATTCTCACCCAGCTTCATCACACGGTAAGCGATTTTTGATATAGAAGATCTCTTGGTGTTTTACTTTGTTTATACTCAAATTTTGTTTCGCGTTTCTTTATATAAATACGTTGAATGAATTCTTAACGAAAAGCCAAGTGTTTATTTAGAAAAATTAAATTTTTCAATGCAGTTTTTTGTCTGTTGCGAATGCCGGTGAAATTACGCCTCCTCCTAACCCTTGCGATTGATTGATTGCTTTCGCGATATTTTCTAAGAATTTTTGCTGCCCCTTTTTGTTTAAATATTCATGCTACACCCTTAGTGACAAGATTTAGTAGAGTTTTTGTAAACTTCATGTTGCCCTCATCGTGGTATAGAAATTTAATAACTTTTCAATACATTTTTCCATCTATTGCAAATGCCGGTGAAGTTACGCCTCCCCTAACCCCTCACAGTTGATTGATTGCTTTTGCGATATTTTCATGGATTGGAAGCTGCCCCTTTTTGTCAAAATAATCATTCTGCTCCTTTTTTGTACGTGTTTTTCTACCGCTTTTAGACCAATTTTATTTTACAACTGCTAAGCAATTTTTCCAGCCATTTCCATTTCGACATGGAAACATGCTTTAATGAATTGTTTCTACGCGTACACTAGCGCTGAAATTTAATAGCCATTATTTCTCTTTTTTTCAGGGCATTTGCGAGACGTTTTGACACCACGATTTGAATGAAAGACATTTCTTCTTTGGCCTTTGTTTCGTTATAATTTGATTGATTTAGAGGATCTTTGTATGTTTATTGTAAAGTTGAAGGATAATTCAAGATTTTGCATCCTGCTCTCAAATAGTTTCAGCGATTGATAGGACCCCTATTTCATAGATTTTCATACCCTACTTCCAATTGGATTTTTACGAGGATGTTTATGAAACACACGGTTCCCTCATTGTACTTTTACAGAGTTTGCCCCCTATGCGTTATAAACATCTATTAGATTTTGCTTTAAATGTGCTATTTAACTTTGGAGGATCCTCAACTCTAGCCATTTATTGTTACCAATCTTGCAATTGGTTTTTTACGAGGATGTTGGTGAAATACACGCCTCCCTCATTGTGATATATTTGAGGGTTTGCCTCATATATTTTGAAAACATCAGATTTTAGATTTTGCTTTAGTTTTGAATTTTGTTTTGAGGATTCTCAACTCTAGGGTTGGCTCACCAATAGTAACTATTAATTGTTGTTGTTTTCAAAATTAGCAAACATTTTGATAATTATTATGATGATGAAGTAGATATTTGTTTTTCTGCTAGAAATCTGCCATTGAACACAAATTAGGATAGTTGATAATCAGTCAAGTTTTATAGCATGATAAAAAGTCCTCAAAAATGAAACATTAGTGGAACTATATATATTCTCTTTCGGCAATATTTTAGACACAGGTATTAAGTAAAATTCATATAAAGATTAATTTATTTTCAAATTTGGTCGGGGTGAAGAGGAAATAGATAAATGACTTTGCTGGATGCCTCTTCGTGAAAATATCGAAATTTGAGCTTCTCCATATAAAATGGAGGTCCGGGGCAACCAAAAAACAAGTCTATTGCTTTACCAAATTTGAAGGCCTCATGCATTGGTATTAAAATGTCAAAATGAGGCGGAAACGCCCGAGCTGATATTAACACACCACCTAGCAACAATGAAATCACGTGATTTGAATCAGAAAGGAAGATTCTGTTAAAAGTAGCTAGATATATGTGAACTGTACCAAAAATAGCGTTATCATGATTATAAAAATCTCGAAAAATCATCTGACCTATAGACAATTAATTGACAAGGTCATAGTAGTACATTTAAAACGAACACCACCAACCTCTCCAACAGTTGAATGGTTACCAAATTGCTTTTATTTGGCAAATAAATTAATTAATTGAGTCCTGGATGATAGACCTACTTATAATACGTACAGTAACAAGGTTCCCACATCAAACGCAATAATTAGGCTAGGCTAACCAGGGTCGCAATTTAAGATGCCTGGGTATTGTCAGAAATTGTAATATGAAAGAACCATTTCCACAACATCAAACCTACTGTGCACGTGAAAAACGTTGAACCTACCAATAAATATCGTTTAATTGCCTAAAAATAAACTACAGAATGTTTGAAGCACACGGAAACAGCAAAATCACACCTTTGATAATCTACTGAGTTACTGATTTAAACTTTAACTGCTCTCTCACGCTTTTCCTTCACCAATTTAGCAACCACCTTCACTCTAATAACAAATTATGTAAAAAATCCTTCCCTAATACTGCAATTTTTCAATAATGTCCTTTCGCCTCACAAAACATATATTCTCCTGTCTTCTGAGACTCATTTCAAGTTTCTCTCAAAATGACAAACGAGCAGGCCCCAATGGTGACTGCTTAATACTCATTCGATTTAGTCCATGTTCCATAAAAAATATGTCATAAGTTCCCACACTTTATCTAAATAGACTACAATCCACTGAAAAGTTTCTACTGAATGTTATTGTAAATAGACTACAATCCTCCATAAAGTGTTTACTTAATGCTATTGATATTTATTATTATGAAATGGAAGTAAACTAGCCTTTCTTGGCGACCCCGCCAAAGCGGGGTCTTGCAAGGCCCACCTGGCCTGAGTTTCCATTCTTGACGACCCCGCCAAAGCGGGGTCTGGGTGGCCCGCCGGCCCGCGACAG